AAAAAAGAACGTGGAATCGCTCTTGCGCGTGAGCTTTCGAAATTCTACGGTGAGTACTAAGCCATCTTCAAACTGAAGCACCTCTACTTCGGAAAGAAAATTAGATGTTTCCGGTAGGACAAAACTTCCATCCGTGTCAAAAAAATCTTGAAAAGTGCTCCGTGTCAGAGGCCTTGAAAAATGCCTACTCTTTCATTAATCATACGGTAACCATGTACACTGAGCTGCCACGGCGTCCAGCCAACAGCGGTTTTTGCGAGTAACGACGTGTGCAAAGGTTTTAAAAACACTTCCTGCCACTTCATTAGGCACGCATGTGTCCTGCAGAAAAAAAGCCTCAACAGAAATTGTCCACTTCGTTACTGATACTTTTTAGTATCTGACGTGGTGCATTTGAAAGAAGATGCCGCACTCGAAGATGACACGAAATCAATGTTTCGCAGCTGAAGTTCATGCGCAAGAACAAGTACTGTGTTGAAAATATGTGATATAGCAATTCCAAGAGCCCTAAACGCGCTTTGCTCACCACGACTCAAACGGAACACGTTGGAACAGCCCCGCATCCAGCACTGAATCAATCCAAGGAATTATGTAAGAGCTTCAGGCTGGATCAATTACGGTAATATTCTTCCTTGAGCTCGAAAATGATGGCAGATGACGTCATATTCTGAAGACGGTGAGGGCAGTGAAGGAGATTGCGTCTATTTTTAGTGGGGCATTCGAGGGATAATCTGCTTCAGAAATTTTCTCGACGGCGGCAATCATTGTGGCGAAAAAACCGCTGAAGTGCGACATAGGTAAAATGACTCCCCCTGTACAGGGGGGGGGGCAAAAAAAAAGAGTCACTCCTACTCACATTCAAAACAGAATTAATTACACTTTGCCAAAACCAAACCGAATGAGCTCAATTGCATATTGAAGAGCACATTCTATTCTATCAAAAACATTGCATAGTGGCCTTCTACACCGACGACACCAGAAGATTTTCCCACGGAAACATGGTTCGCGGTACGAGCTCAACGGGGTCGTCGAGAAACCATAGATGATTACGACGTCTCTGAAACGCTGGTCAAAAGCCATTTTGCATAGTCAGAGCTAGTGTCTCTAAGAAGTCATTCACCAGTTATCCGATTGAAGAATTTATGTAGCAGCTTCAGAATGGAGCGATTATGGTAGGCCTCCTTAAGCTCGACGGTGATGACAGATGACGTCATATTCTGGAGACGGTGAACGCAGCGAAGGTGGGCCTGATTCTGCTTATGGGGGGGACATCTAAGGAATAATTTCGCCGTATAACTCCCAATAACAGCGGCATCCTTTGCGACGAAAAGTTTGATGATATGCGCCATAGGCAAAGTGACTTTTTTTGGCCCCCCTGTATATGTTACGTCCCTAATGGGAACTGTACAACCGTAGACGCGAAGCGTAGAGGAGACGTAATAATATTAATGGTGTCGTAAGAGCCATATGTAGAAAGAGGCAGTTATGAGCGTGCAATCGGTAAGGTGTGCGGGATCATCGATGAACGGCAAGGCTGACATTATGCTATTTGCAAGCTAGTAAATGCTCTATCAGTCGCCAGCGATGAGAAGGACTGACGATGGTATATTTGCATGGCTAGAAATGGAAAAGAGCAGCACGAGATGAACAATGATGAAAAATCCGATTAACAGAATCAGAGAAACAGTTAGCGACAAGTCCGTATGAAAAGTAGAAGACAAGAGAAAAATACCCAAAGAGGAAAACGGAATGCAGTACGTTTACTTGCTACACTAGACACTGATGGTTCTTAAGCAGTCAGCCTATAGAGCTTTCTAGTTGTTATGGATGTTGTTGCCTGCCTGTGATTCATGGCGTTTCGCTGTTTTACCTGGTAACCGATTTCATTTTCTTTCCTGACTTCGTGTCACACCTACGTGTACATCAAACGAATAAATGAATGAACAAGTAAGTGAACAATCGTTGCCAGTAATAACAGCTCGAGTCAAGTAAGCGATCAGCGCAAATCGAACTTGTTGCCATCCGGCCATGTGCACTCACCAAAAAAGTCAGTCAGGACATGTAGCGCTTTCTCAAAACGGTTGTTTGCTTATTTAGGGACACTCGCGTTGAGCAAAAAACACAAATATGAGATTGGTTTTTTTCCAATCACCTAAGGAATCACGAAAGAAATTCGAAAACGAAGGCTCGTTCGACCCCACTGAGGCAAATTTTTGCATTTCTCCAGTTTCCACTTTCTTTCATTCATATGTGATTGAATTAATTTACTGAACAAACCCTTATGTTACGCTGCTATTCAACGGGGCAAATACTGTTATATACATCAAAAATGAAGAAGATCTACTTTCTGACAGAATTTTCTCACCCTCTTCTAAAAACTCGAGAGCCGCTTGGAAAAAATTATTGAAAATTTATATACTCCACGCCCTGTAAAATGCAAAAACCATTTTAAAAAGCGCTCCACGTCCTGTACGACTTTCCTGGTCAGCGGCATTGCCCTTAACTACCATATGGCCACTTTTGATAATCAACATTTGATAATCAGCTTTGATATCACCTTCGCTACTCTTTTGATAATCAACATTTGATAATCTACGAAGCATTACGATGGTGCGACTTCGACAATTGTGACAAGGAGGAACTTCTCAAAGTACTGGCTCTCCCAAGCTGGTGCTACAGAAACCAAAAGGAAAAGCACGGCTGGCTGCTCGGAGCGGAGAAAGCAGATGGAGCCGGCTACGCCGATGTTACGGGGCGGAGTATTCTACCTCTTAGTCATCTTATTGAAATTCTTGACATTTAGCGATGAAACTCTCATATTGACATATATGTAAACTTTTCCAGCACTTCTAGAGCCATTGACCATTTCATATTTGATTTCTTCTACTGGGCAAAAGGAAAGTTACGAAATTATGTGACTGTGTAGACGAAGGCATTGCCGCTGAAAGCGCACGGTGGGAAAGCCGGCAGGTTCGACTTTCTTTCACGTTGGTCACCTTCAAGCATTGTTTATGCAGTGCAGAACTGATTGTGGAGAAAACTACTGGCAACACCCTCACGAGAATAAGACCAGTCCAAAGATATTACAAATGAGGAAAGCTTCACAAAGATTTAGAACATACGCCATAATATAAATTTTAGACATACCGTCATATACTCACTTCCATCCACTTCTTCCCACGCTCAACGGTAGAATTAGAGGCAACTGGAAGAAGAGGGCAGAATTTAAGTATGTCGACTGGTCTCGGAGTCAAACACCACCAACAACCATGCCGGTAATGCTGGTAGTCGTGGGACGGTGAGGAGCAGGGTGAACACGGTCGAGGAAATCCTCGACAGGGGGTCGTATTTGCTCCGATGAGAGATGAGGGGAGTCGTAAGCGCAAGGACCATCAAGGTTCACAAGCGGTGCTGCTGCCACTCATTTGCAGCGTCATCACTAATTTTACAAACTTTTAGTTGGAGTGAAGCAAATGGTATCGTGAGACTGACCTAAATCCAAATCGAGAGATTTCCTTGGCTAGTTGTCATCAGTACGGTGACGTATGGAGAAACGCGTGCTGCAAGACGAACAGTACTCCATATATTTCAAATGTAAAACATTTTCTCCAAATTGATGTACGCGCTTGAAAACTTGTGTAGCAACCGTGTATCACCTAAGAGTTCAAAACGGGAAGATTCGCAAATATCTGCGATCATCGGATTGCAGACGCAAATGCGTCAATCATAAGGACACAGTTGGAATGGAAGCGACGTAAATGAAGGAATGATCAAACTATGGTGATAGGAGTTTTTTATAATTTACCAAGACTAGAAACAAGTCTAGGAACACTTCCTTTCTGCACTAGCAAGTTTTCGTGTAGATAAAACACATTTCAAATGACTACGAGAGGATTCACAGCTTGGCGCATACTAGAACGGAAAGGTTCTGTACCAGGGTATCATTTACTATATAAGCCGTCGAAATGACGTGCATTAGAGGCAATTCAAGGGTTTCGAAAGAGCTCTCAAACTGCTGAAGAAAGTGAAAGAATCTCCCTCTATCGGCGAAGGAGGATTATTCGATCGGCTGGAAAGCCGTCCGGGTACTCGAAGCAGAGCTCTCGCGAGCCTTAGCCTAGAGAACTGGCCTATCGGGTAGAGAGGCTGATGTGCAGGTTCGACGCTAGGGGATCCGGTCCGTTTGTTTAGTTTCCTTTGCTTTTTTTTTCACAGCACGTTAAGAAAAGCTAAATTTTTGTCTCTCGGTGAATTTTCTTTTGAATATTCTGACTTTGGCAATGCGGCATTCTAGCGTAGCAACGCACGAACGAGGCGTTTTCACGCCGAGGGAGTGTGACCATCGCCTTCAGGAAGTCAAACTACCCCTTGACACAAATTTCTAGCCAAATCGAAAATTTGACTCCTACATCGAAAAAGTGGGGTATCCATGGGTAACACAGAAAGTCTAGTAGCTGGTGCCTTCGACAGCACCCACGAGCACAACCTTTGTGGGCAAGAAGATTCTGATCGTTGAAACTTCATAAATAGATGAAGTAGAAGGTCCCCTCATTAACCTTCATTTTTAGCGCCGCGTTGCCAGAACCGCTTCCTGACAGTGACCGCTTCCTGACAGTGACCGCTGCCCAAGACTGCCGCGTCACAACACTTTCTCGAAGGTAAAAATCACACTAACCTCAGGTTGCACTAAAGAGGGAGTATACTGGGTTGATTGCGAAATCTATATAAAACTTTTTCTAATCACACCACTCCACCCCTGGTTACAGTTTTTTTTAGAAAATTTGGTAGCTTAACTTGCTGGGTGTGTAGAATAAAAGAGCAATCAGTTGATTCTACGGTTGAATTGCCTTGAACGGTCCATTTTCTTCGACAGCAGCAGTCTTCGGCCAAATTCGGTTCTTAAATTTTGTGACCAACTATATAATGCGTTCCCGAAATTTGTTCCCTTCAGATATCCACGAGTGGTTCGTCCAGAATATCCTTTACACATAAGAAATTTAATGGCTCAGAAGGAGAGATTATTCCATTCCCTTCCTCAAGCCATCAGTGATGAGCGATACAAAAAAGTGAGCTCAGATCTCGATTATCATATAAGGAAGTGGGTGTGCAATCAAGAGCGACATCTACTGATGAGATCGGACCTTAAACAATTTTTTCGCTACTTCAGAAAGAAAACTAAAACCACTCCACATTTGCCAATCTTGTTAGACGAGAGCGGCACGCAGTTCGTATCAGATTCACAGAAAGCAATGGGTCTGGGCAAATATTTTGCAAGCGTCTACTCCGATACTAATACAAGTGAGGACATGGTAGAAATAAAAGGGATGCCCCATATACCTAGTGGTCTCTCTAATGTTTTCTTTCACCCTGATGATGTGCGTAAGGCGCTGAGGAGCTTGGAACCATCCAAAATGTGTGCATCTAGCTTGTGTCAACCATTAGCACATATATTCAATATATCGATGCTTTTAGGAGAGGTCCCAAATGTCTGGAAAGAAGCGTTAGTTTCAGCAATCCCGAAACTTCCTAACAGTAGACTCATTTCCTCCTTCCGCCCAGTAAGCATCACACCGACACCAGCAAAAGTAATGGAGAAGCTTATTAGGGATAAGATGATAGCTTGGCTGGATAGATTCCGCGTAATCCCGAGGGAGCAACACGGTTTCTTAAGCGGATCTTCCACCTTATCTAACCTACTGGATAGCTGGTTTGATTGGTTGCAGGCACTGAATAATGGGAAATCTGTAGACATTATTTTCATTGACTTGTCAAAGGCATTTGATAAAGTGTGCCACCGAAAACTGCTCTGCAAGCTACAACATCTCGGAGTTTCCGGACAGCTTTTTGAATGGCTCAAGTCATATCTGAATGAAAGACACATGACTATTAGGGTACGGCGCAGCTTCTCTGAGAGACATCACTGCAGAAGTGGTGTCCCGCAGGGTAGTGTGCTGTCACCACTGCTTTTCTTGATATACAGTAGCGGTCAAAAGTCTTCGCCGAAATTGTTTTTCGACTGTAACTTTTTTCCGCTGAATCAAATCAATTCAAATTTTAATATGTTTTAGAGATAGTCCTACTTCACTTAAACGGCATATTTGTTTTCGGATTGAGAAAGAATTAAGAATGGAAAAAATCATTTCACTAGAAATTCTCGCGTATGAGCAAATTCCAAGTAGGTTTCAAATTACTCTAGCAAGCTTACAATTCAACAAAACAATCTTACGCATGATGAATAACACTGGGCAGGTCCAATACTTTGTTAATGATCTTCTGGGTTCGCTGAAATACTAACAAGGCCTAAGTAAGGAATCAGTCATTGAATGCACTGTCTACTAGGGCAGCTTCCTCCACTTCTCTTGAAATTTGACGAGTTTCTCGCCCATATTCCCGGCTCTTATTTCCACCAAAGGTATCCCTACTCTTTCCCATAATGTTTCGATGGCGCTCGGGACATTGGTGTGAATTGTTCCCTTCGTTGAAAGCGCGCCATGCTGTCGAAACCACTCCTTCACAGTGAAGGTGCGATGCTTTTGGTCGCACTAATGCTAGAAGGCGAGCTCAGTCGCGGGCAGCTGTCATACATGTGGATAAGAGCTCCTTCTAGAACCCAACTGTATAGGCTGCCTTCACATGATTGCGAATACTGCGAAGTTAGTCGGCGGTGAACTGGTCGGGGGCGAAATGTGCTTACGCACACCTAAAGTGGGGATCCCCATAGGGCTACAACGTCCTGCGGACCAACGAGAGTAAATTCAAGATGTTTGCCGGCGACTGAAATAGGAATGTGTGCGGTCCTGAGGAAAAACGTTTCGATCCAAGGAATTAACTGCCGTATGTAAAACTTGGCGGAGGCTCGCGTGTGGTAGTCCGTAAAAGAAGTTTTACAACTGCACAGGATTAGAGAAGTGGTGAATGCCGACGTATCAGATAGATTCTAGAAGGAGTTTCGTATCCGCTCGTATGAAACTGTACGTGACTGAGTTCGCCTTCTAGCTATAGAGCGACCAAAAGCATCGCACCTTCACTGTGAAGGATTGGTTTCGACAGCATGGCGCGCTTTCAACGAAGGGAACAATTCACACCAATGTCCCGAGCGCCATCGAAACATTATGGGAAAGAGTAGGGATACCTTTGGTGGAAATAAGAGCCGGAAATATGGGCGAGAAACTCGTCAAATTTCAAGAGAAGTGGAGGAAGCTGCCCTAGTAGACAGTGCATTCAATGACTGATTCCTTACTTAGGCCTTGTTAGTATTTCAGCGAACCCAGAAGATCATTAACAAAGTTGGACCTGCCCAGTGTTATTCATCATGCGTAAGATTGTTTTGTTGAATTGTAAGCTTGCTAGAGTAATTTGAAACCTACTTGGAATTTGCTCATACGCGAGAATTTCTAGTGAAATGATTTTTTCCATTCTTAATTCTTTCTCAATCCGAAACAAATATGCCGTTTAAGTGAAGTAGGACTATCTCTAAAACATATTAAATTTGAATTGATTTGATTCAGCGGAAAAAAAGTTACAGTCGAAAAACAATTTCGGCGAAGACTTTTGACCGCTACTGTATACAATGGATTTGCCCCAGTGCGTCGCAGCTTCCTCAGAGGTCAGAGTTCAGATGTACGCCGATGATATAAAGTTGTATGCAGCATACGATGCATTCAATCAAAAAGAAATACAAGCCGCTCTCCAGCTATCTCTAACGAGGATGGTGGAATGGGCTGCCGCATGGGATTATCAGTCAATATCAGTAAGTGCGCTGTTCTACACCTAGGTGACAAACTACCGTCCGAATATAACATGAATGGGTCTACCTTAGTAAGTCACACAAGTGTGAAAGATCTAGGTGTCAATCTGCAATCTGATTTGAAGTTCACCTCTCAGATAGATATGGTGGTAAAAAAAGCTCTGGCAGCACTATTCACGATCTTTCGTAATACCCAGATCAGGGAGCCCAAGCTCCTCCTACGTTTATATAATGCATATGTACTACCTCACTTAAATTACTGTTCACAATTATGGAATCCTACTCTTAAGAAAGATGTAGTCAAGCTGGAAAAAGTCCAACGAACTTTTACCAGACTGGCTTACTCCAGAAACTATCCACGGACAGCATCTTGTGACATGCCGAGTTATGAAGAGAGAATGAAATGGCTTGGTTTGATTAGTCTAAGCAAAAGAAGGTTGATTAATGACATCACCTTGGGATTCAAAATACTGAGGCAAGAAACCAGGCTTAGACCTAGCAAATACTGGGTCTTCAAGCCCTGTAGCGAAAGATCCGGGAGATTTGGCATATATCATACGAGAATTCATAGAAAATTTTACTCAATGACCTACCACTCTTTCTTCTGCCGCATGGCTAGGATCTTCGAGAAGCTTCCACCCGAAATATTCGGGACAGTGAATGGTAAGACCTTCAGGAAGAATTTATTAAAACTCAATCTTACGGATGTCATTAGGTTAAGTGGTCTAATTGTGAGCTCCATTTAGAGATCGTTACAGTGGACTCTCGCCTTTCTGATTACATCATCGGATCAACATATCACGATATCGTGGTCACCAGGCGTATTAATATTGTTCTTTGGATGCAAGGCTTCATATTTCGATTACCAACTTTTTTCCTTGAGTAATTGTATTTCTCCCAGTTGTGCTTTGTGCTTGTTTTTACCTTCTTTAATTTGGTATAATTAGTATTGGAATGGTCTAGTCATGAGGATCGGGACCCTGCATTAGTTTTTATACTCACGATCAATCAGTATATTCCGCCACTTCGCTTAACCCTTCCTTTCCTAGAAGGACACACCTCAGAAAACTTTTCTGTCTGCTAAGTATGTGACCTCCACTTACAAGCTTTGGAAGTAACGTCTCTCTGCTGAAATCCACGAGTGGCATCTGGTCCTTACCTGACCTGCCTGTTCCACGAGGGTGTCGGTATACTCGTGTCCCGAAGTTCAGGCAGGCTTCCCATTGCACCTATAGTAGTGCTATGGGCACCATTGCCGACTGGTGCAGGTAAGGTACCTGGATTACACTCAAAGTCACCGAAGTTTGAGAGGTCTTCCTTAGTTCCTCGCTAGAGGGTCAGCAGTGCTAATTTTCCCTCGTGCTGCTATCTCTTTGAATGCAGGAAAGGGAATAGGTTTGCAGTAGTCCTTTTATATCGTAGTTTTTAATAGTTTCGTGAAGATAATAGGGCTACCGTCCTCATTGACTAACCACAATGTTTTCTATTGTTTGTTTCTTTATAGGCGCGTCAACTGCACGCATGAATAAATAAAAATAAATAAATAAATAAGCAAATAATACACCTTACGGAAACGTCACATAACCGTGACAGCGGCTATCATAGTACCCTTCGAAAGTTCTTCGCCTCAATTCAGAAGGTCAGCATATTTTTCTAGGGGTCCTTATTTATTTAGACTCATAAGCTGGGCCTGATCCTGACAGGAAAGGTAACTGACAAGGAATGTCCTTCAGGTCGCCATGGCCGTTCTACATGAGATGTATACCACTGATGCGTCTCTGAGACGCTGATTCCAAATCTGCCTTCCAAATCTGCTAAACGACTCTCCGAACGGAGTTATGAAGCGTAATAGCTCAGTGGTGATGGTCCGGGGTGGCAGGTAAAAGCTCGTAGGATCGGTTCCTTTGCAAATTGGTTGCTTTGCTTTTGTCTCTAGAAGTGTTGCGGAGCAAAGCAACAAACTTGCAAAGGAACCGATCCTACGAGCTTTTACCTGCCACCCCGGACCATCACCACTGAGCTATTACGCTTCATAACTCCGTTCGGAGAGTCGTTTAGCAGATTTGGAAGGCAGATTTGGAATCAGCGTCTCAGAACGCATCAGAGTGGTATACATCTCATTGTAGAACGGCCATGGCGACCTGAAGGACATTCCTTGTGAGTGGGTTCCTCTGAAGGGAAAATAGCCTATGCTGTCGAAAAACTCACCATATTCCATGAGTGTGAGCCTTGTTGCAGATGCCAGCTGTGATACAATAGTGGCCTCGAGGCACGTTTTCGCGTTCCTTTTTTTGGCCCGGTAACATCGCCTGAGCTGTCCTAGAATGAAAAAAGGTTCACACAGCTAATAATAGCCCCAAAAATCACGTAGGTCTGTATCTAAACCCCGTAAAGAACTCGAGGTAATGATCGGTACCTCATTTCTGATATTGTGCCAGCAAATCCTCTAGGATAACTTGTTCAAAGCCAAAGACTGACCATCAAAATGAGATTTCGATGAAGTATGACAGATAGGCAGGTCTAGGAATGACCCTTGTAGCACCAGCTGGTTCCGATTAACATGGTATGCGCAGGAGAAAATGATTGCATGAGATGGGGAGTACCCAAAAAAAATCTTACCTGAAAAAATGCGTTAAATGTCAATGTCACAAAGTATGTGATGGCTGCTGAGTGAGCCAGAAGTATCGCCGAATCTGCACCGAAAGGTTTTAGGAACGAATCTTTCACCCAGTATTCAGAAGAAAATGAAGGTGACTTCTTCACCTCGAACGTGTCTAGATTACATTTTACCCAGGAATGTTAAGCTACCCTCTACTTCATCATCGAAGATGTTCATTTCACTAACAAAACAAGACGTTCGACATTTTCAGACGTCTTTCAAGCTGTTACCTTGAGCTTCAATCACTACTCCAAGTAGATCTCCTGATAAAATCAGTAGCCTACATTTATTTTGAAAAGAAGGGGGTCTTGCTTCAAAGACAAAACACTGGAAAAACTCGTCCACTGTATTCCGGTGTCAGATTAGAAATGAGCTTAAATGTGTAGTTACAAAATGAAGAAAATATTAGGATTATGGAAATAAAGAAAAAAACTGATCATTGTTGCAGAGGAATGAGTAAAAATAGAAAAAAAAGGAAGCATGTGGCCTGTCAGAGCAACCGCAAACCGCACTGACATCGCATGAGCAATTGATAGACAGCGACAATATTTGACCTGCTAAAGTGTTGATGGTGGTGGTTATCAAAAGCGGATCGATTCGTATATATTTATTTCCGCCGATTCAGATCGCCCTGTCTTCAATTTCCCTAAAACGCTGCTTTGAATGCGGACTTACAACGGGGAGCTTCAGGCTAAGGTGATTCAGAGGGAAAAGCTTGTCATGAAGAAACTCATTAAATTACACTTCTGGGAAAAGCTGCCGCATCTACAAACTAGGATTTGAGACATCGCCCAATACAGGAGTAATGAGCAACTCCTTCCTGATTCCTAGAGATCTCTTCCGGCACTTCTGTGGCCGAGGTAGAAGGGCTTGCAAATGCAGAGGCTATGCTGTTCCTGTAAGTCGAAAGCGTGCGACAAGAATGCCAGAACTCTGTCGCTTCAACCGCTGGCAGCAGCTTCAGACGACAGGCTGTCTAGGCTCTTGCTCGTCTGCTACTCTCTCTCTCGTCATACTCGTCTGTACCCTCTGCCCTTTACATAGTAATTATCTGTCTACGAAGGAGCACATCAACGACATCTACCTAAGGGAAGGCATTCCTCTTTTCAGTGTCTCTAGTTGTTTTTCTCTTTTCTTACTGGAGTCCACTTCGGATCTCTATCTCCTTTTCGTGTGCATGATCATACTCATCGCGGCATGTGCCTTTAGGTTCTTTACATTTCTGAGGGAATCAATTCTTGAATCTACTCAAACCCTTTAGGGGTCCCATAGAGGCCCAGAGAGCAGGGGTTGCGGGTGTATGGTGCGAGGATGAGTGCCGTGTGATTGGTGATGGTGGGCCTCTCGTCAATGGCAGACGTACTTCTCTTAGCAAGATGTTAACCGTGTTGTACATCTGACGGGTATCTAGTAAAGATTTAGCCATAGGTTGAAAGTAAACTCTAATTAATGAAGTCGAAATACCTTGTTCAGGATCACTTCACTCATTTCCTACTTGACGATACTCAACGAGAACCGACGCTTTATTGCATGTCTGGTCTCACCACACTAGCCGTATATCCACGTAAAGGAAAACGGTATGTTCACGTCACAATTTGCCATTAAAATGCCACCAGCCCAACATAAAGGGTACAGGCTCAATCGCTATCAACTGCTATTACAACATTGATTCAAAGTGAATGCATGGCGCATCCAAAAAAGATTGTTAATAAATAAAATACGAAAATAATTTAATTTAATTTAATTTAATTTAATAAATAAATAAATGAATAAATGTGCCAAAGTGGTTCGCAAACGTATGGAGCATAGTTCTGAAAAAGTGCAAAAAACCTTGACCATCAAGGTCTCGAACCCTTGACCTTGCAGCCACGCAACCGACACAGTATCCACTACTGTCCGCCACTGTCCCACAACAGAGCAATGCATGCGTATCGTATTCGTGCTGAACCTGGGTCTGCTCCGTATCACAACAAGTTCCGTAACTTGGTGCAGAGAATGGTTCAGCAGATATGGAGTTCACTTTTGGAGTCTGCGTACGAGAGCCTTTCGAATGATATGCATCATATTTCAAATGGCCACTTCCACCTAACATCCTTCCCTGGTCAGCACAATTTAGAAACCGGAGTTCTCGCATATTCGGGATTGCCTTCCTTTTTTGAGAAGGTTCTAATTGAAGAAAGTTACAGTCAAATAAGAGGTGTTTTAGCGATTTTTCCAACTGGTACGCTCCAATTGGCAATCGCGGACGGTCAGAGCCCCAATGCCGGAGCGCGAGACTGCTCAACGGTCTCTGTTCACTACCTTCCCCCTTTTCTACTTCCTTGCCAATGTGGCATAGCCAGTCTGTCCAAAATTTGGTTTCCGATTCTAACCGCGGCGCACTTGCGTCTCAGTGGCGCTGTCTTCCTCTTGCGCATCTGAAAATAACATTTCTGCTATAAATCGGATGCGTACAGGGTAAAAAGGGGTCGTGTTGGAACCTTCATCAAGTGGAGGGGGTGTAGTAAGGACGCGTCCATTTCCTTGACTTGTTTCACCCTGGTAGGGAGGATATGGGGGGAGGCACAAGGGTGATGGTGAATGTTGGCGCTCAGTCGAATCCCTTTGAGGGAGATCATGGAAACTCTTCAAAATGGAACAACGAAGGTTGACCGTGGTGAAAAAGCCGCACTGACGACCAAGCCTACGCCTTATCAATCAACCGATATAATATCAGGAATGTGAATCTGTCTTCAAGATTAGATGCTGAGTTTCTTCACAACAATGCTGGGTTCGTGAACAAAACTTTCGCCCCAAATCGGACTCGAACCCGCACCTTTTGCTTTCCGGGCAAGTGCGCTACCAGTTACGCTACCGGGGCACCATTTTACTCCATGCGGGTTCGAGTCCCGTCTGGGGCGAAAGTTTTGTTCACAACCCAGCATTCTTGTGAAACATTCGCAAGGCGAACTGCGACCAAAAAAGCAGTTAACTATCAAAAACTGACTTTACTCATTTATGTATTAACTCATATTAGGTTGAGTCATAGGTCAGTGCTGATTCTTCATTCCCGCGCACCTCTCCTAAAAAATGCTTGTGTTGTTCCCGCAAAAAAAAACTATGTAGCGACCTTGGTGTCCTTTCATATTACAATACCCAACCATCAGTACACCTCTTCGAGGAGAAATAATGCCGTCCGTTCTATCTAATTCACGCTCGTCACTGTCAATTTTGAGAGTTCCGTTTGGGGCACTCAGCAACGCAGTGTCGGAATATCTGTGAATCCGGAGGACCGGGTTGCTAGAAAAGTCTGTTGAACGGTTCGGGAAGCTTGATCAGGGTGACTACTGCCCTAAAGATAAGGTACGTTTCGGACACTCGTTTCGGACACAAACGTCGATATTGAACACATGAAAAACCTTCTCGAAGGTAACCCAGCACCAGTACCCGTCAAACTGCGCTTCACTTCACTCCTCTCAGAGAACGTCGCTATATGTGTCGCTTCTCTTCGAGCCATGGGAAAATTGTAGACGCTGAGGTGATGGAATTCTCACGAGTTGGACGAGGTGGCTCGAAGGACACGTGTGATCATCTCACAAAGTTTGCTGATAAAAGTCGTAGTTTCGATCGGCTTGACAAGCGGTCACTGGGTTGAGGAGTGCGCAGTCTAGCCAAGCAACCTACGGAGGCATCAGTGGGAACGTGCAGCTCAGCAGCGACAACGAGCCCCAATAGGTGAACTTCACCCGGAGCAAGTTTCTCTCTCCGATTGTAGGATTGCATCATTGCAGACTTGGAACAGTACCACTACTGCTGACGCAGGCGCCTTACAGCTGGATAGTCTTGCTTCGGATATCGCAAAGTTTAGGCTTTTCGCGGATGCGACGGTGGCCCGCTGGGCGCACCGCGCGCCCCGGCCCACTTGCGCTCGGTTGCCAACGCGCTCCAGCGCCATTGGCCCCGCCTCCCTGCGGTCGAGGCCAGTTAGTCGGCGCTACGCGCACCGTCCGTGCGGCGGTGCTCGTAGGAGCTGGCCACCGGTGGCAGGTCGGTGTTCACCGGGCAACGCGATGAGGCCAGCTAAGGCGAAGGGGCACGTCGCTCCGTAGTCCATGTTGGCGGAGCGCCTGTCATCCCAAAGCCGGTCGTGTCCTTCCCCTGCTCCCCGTCTGGGAGCAGCCCTTACAACATCCCAGATAGGACACGTCGGCCGCATGGAGCCCCCAGAAGAGCCGAGCCAACGTGGGGGTCTAATACGTCGAGTCAGCTGGTGGGGCTCACCTCTGAGAGAGGTGACCCCGGGAGTTCGAGGAGTGTGGTGAGTTATTACGTCATAATAAATGTTAGTAAATATAATTGTGTTTTCTATGTATTATATGTGGGTTTACCCTAATTATATCGGTCTGTTGTGTGTCACTCGGGTTTAGTAGGGCTGTTTACCTAGGTTAGCCCGTCGGCCACTAGTGAGTAGGTTGAGCTGCCGACGGGCGCCCCCTGTGTCCCCGGGGGGAAGTTGGGTCCGCTCCTCCTGACGGGTGCTCAGGAGGCAGCGTGGTGGCCGATGGGCTGGTCGGCTGGAAGTCGGATCGGGACACCGTTTGCGACAGGCTTCCTATACTTGAAAATCTTCCATTACGCGGCAGCTTTCGACACACATGGAATGAGGAGTGCTAGAATACGAGACGGAGATTCGGGTTCATGATTTATCCCCGCTGGTATAACAACCAATCACCAGTTGCTCCGCTTGCTTGCTCGTTTCCTTAACGAAAAAAAACTACGAAGATCGCGAACACCTCAAAACAGACATCCACTGATTCTTGACGTCGAAGTTGCTTAGTTCTGTGAGAGAGGTATCCTTTCACTTGCGGATAGATAGAGGACACTTGTAGACAGCTGGTAAATATAGCACATAATCATATGGTGACACAGAAAGCTGTAAACTTTTGAAGATTTCTTTCGAATCGGCTCTTAATTTTGACTCAACCTAATATTAATGTACTCATTTGCTCAATTATATAATCTTATGATTAATTACGATGCTTTCAGAGATTGCTCTGTACCGGTTTTTTTTTGATTAAGATCACACGACACACAGAAGATATAGAAACGAAAATAGAATAAAACTATAATAATTATTTACTCGTTAGATGCCTCCAGATCTCATGCAAGTGAACTTTCACCTCTAAAGCAAATCAGAACTAGCATACGCAAGGATTTCACTAATAGGCTGCAAAAAATTGCTTGTTGTACAGGAATCACTTGTGTAAAATATCAGTCTGGATGCTACCGATTCCTGTAGTCCCGCGTGGTTCAGCTCAAGAAACGCAGCGATGGAAAACAGGATGAGCCATGTGGCAGAACGGCATCATTTCCATAATAAGACTTCTCCTACCTTTCTTACCCAAGTTGACGTTCTCTTATAGTCTGACCTAATCTCACTGGGATAGATGGCGATCGTGGAGGTGAAGCCATCTTCGCGACTCAAAACGCACAGCAATGGCCGATGTCAGACTTTGCGATTGGTAGCGATTTTGCACCAATTGCAGGAGCGACGGATCGCTCAAGCGATCCATCGCTCGGCCGTGATGTGCCATTGGCCGTTGTGGCAGGGAGCGATCAATCGCTGCCACGTGTCAAGGGTATTGATCGAAGGGGTGTGGCAGCGATTGATCGCTCCCTGCCACAACGGCCAATGGCACATCACGGCCCGAGCGATGGATCGCTCCAATCGCAAAGTCTGACATCGGCCAATGGCGGGATGGGTTTAAGAGCTTGCAACCGAAATGCACCCAGGTACACGCACTGTTTGGAATACACTGATGTCTGCGTACCGTTCCCTATGCTTTCAAGTGTCTGGGTCTGCTTTGACGCTACGGTGTCCACTACATTCTTGATGTCCACATTCCTTGGAGAGCATCCTTACTTCAAATGCTGAGGCTTCGATGATCCCTTTCTCTCTACTTCAGTGGCGGTCATTGCCTATGAGTACGATCCCTACCCCATTTCCCCATGGCCGGGGAGGGGGGCAACTACACCATTTCGCGCTACACATTTCACGCCATGCCAAGGCATCTAAGTTCTGCTGAAAAAACAGTAAACGCGCATGAGTTGAGCAGTATAGCTGTGTGGCAGCTACCCGTGGGGATGGGACCTTGTTCGACTGATCACCTGCACCATTCATTCTATTATATTACGTTAGTGCTGCATCTCGAATCTCTAACTGTCAGTGGAATCGAAACACGTCGGAAGCAGCGGTAATATTAGGCGTTTCAGAAAGTTCTGTCGTTTTCTGACACTCCACTTTTGGATGCTTTATTTCCCTTGAAATCTGGGAAAGCTGCAATTGATGTTGATATCATTTTGAAGAGCTTTTCCAGCTCTATCCAATGCTTAGCTCAACTTTGTCCTAAAGTATTTTCTTATAGCTTTTTCAAAGCTTTGAATGCGGTATACTCGATGAGCAAGTTGGCATGACTTTCTTTTTCTAGCTTTAAATAGACCTGAAAGTGGCGGGAACAGTTCAAGATATTAACGATGCTTTGGGCCTAGATTTGCAATAAATGTGCTCAGAAGCAGTAGTTAAAAAATTTATTGTAACGAAGGCGAGAGCCTTGAATATGATGAGAGTAGTGGTCGGATATCGGACGGTGTCTCCGATTAGCCAAAAGTTCTGATTGAAGCACTCGTGCGTAAGACCATAGAGGAGGTTCTGCCCAACCTGGGCGTATATGGTTTGTACAGCCAAGCTATACGGAAGAAGCTGGAAAGTCCAAAAAATTTGATAGGGGCGTGCCGCGACAAATCACCAATTTGAAGGGTCGTCCATCAAATTGTCGCTTGTTTTATGTGATAAAAGCGACTCGTTTCTCTACAGATTTGCGACGTACAATAAAGAGCGGATTCTTCTCTATAGTCTACGAAGGTTTGCTGAATAGATCGACGGCGATGAAGCTCTACAAACTTTGCAGAATTTAAACTGTGCTGGAGGAGGGTTGTGGCAGCTTTCATGGGGTCAGCGGCTGGCCATGTTCTTCAGTATCAGGTGGAACTGTTACAGTGGAGAATCAATCTTTATATTAAGTCAAAAATCATCAAAAACTCTCATGGGTCCAGCATTCCTCATTATAAAGGAACGCACACATCCCTGAAAGGTGTCTTGAACGCACATCGCACGGCCAACCCTTCACAAGTTGTACCAGCTGAACTTCAGAGTGGTTCTGCGAACATCTTACTTAGTAGACCTTTGGTCTATCTACTGTCAAATTTCTGACGATCTCGATAGCTTCCTTGAAGAGAAATACATCAAAACCCAACATGATGCTAAAACGACCTTCCCTCAGTTCATCGCCTCCAGAGGTCCAGCATTCCAAACAAACGTACCCAGTTGAACGGCTTCTTATAGAAAAAGATTCGCGCTTTCGAATGGTTTTTTAATCAACTCGAAAGGTTCAGTCCTAAGCCGAGATACGTGCATTTAAAATTAGGGGTTGGAAAACGACAGAACTTTCTGAAACACCTAAATATAATCTGGCCCAAACCCTCACCCAGCAGCTTACCATACGATACCTGTCGTTGATTCGGTCACTATTTTTCTACCAGTAACCTCTCACTTTCACTCCGAGCAATCATGACGTCGTGCAGTATCTTACCTAAGAGACGAGATTCGCCGTTTACGAGGTTAAAGTGGCGGATCGGCGGAAGTCCTGCTTGACTCCTAAGGTGCCTATTTCCTGATGCTTCCGTCTCCACATCATGAGGTGGTATTCCCAATCTTAACCGATCGCGAAATGTAGCAGAAGCTTCTCTGTAGAAGCTGATGATCTGTAAATGCAGACCAAACATTAAAGGAATCTTCCGCGGAAAAAGCTCCGCCTCCATTACCACAGAAAAACGATACCTTAGGCCCCTAGCCTCATGAGCATAGCAAAAAGAACGGAACATAAGCGTTAGTTTCGATAATACTAATCCTACACACAAGACAAAATGATCACTCTTTCCGTGGAAGATTCCTTTAAGGTATCGTTTTCTGTGGTAATGAGGGCGGAGCTTTTCCGTGGAAGATTCCTTTAAACAACACCGGGTGAAGGCCTCCTGAAACTTTGAGGGCTCTTTCCAGTGGGCCGTAATTTTTGAAAAGGGCACAGACTTGGCAGTAATCACGCAAGGCTACTTTTCAAACTTTTTATTCACAATTAGGCCAGGTGCATCAAGAAGCTAAACGACTAAACCTGGTGTTAGTCAGCAGAAAAGTGCTGTCCCTCTTCGCAGTATCACATCGCACAACTAAAGTTATAACAGCTGAACGAAGTGGGACAAAACCCTGCCTCATCCGTTATATTTGCCGGACCTCACCTTACAAGTTACCATTTGTCTGGTGCAAACCCTTTGGTGCGGGTAGATTAGTTTCAGTTTTACTGTACTTCGTATTACTCTATTTCTGTGTATTACCTTCATGGTATATTTCGATTACCAGATTTGCTCAACGTCGGGAGGGACCACGGAATAGCAGCATGACGTACTCCATTAACCACCTCACTATTGAATGTGTTATACCTCCTTATACCCTTCTCTCCGGCGCATGGCAGCGCCATGTTCTCCCTCCCTTTCTCCTCTCCCCTTCCCTCCCTCTTTCCCTCTCCCCCTCCCTTCCAGCCTCCCCTTTCTTGCCCCTTCCCTCTACCCCCCTCCACCCTCCCCCCCCGCTCATCCGGCTGCCACGGCAGCACCATGTAGAATGAGACTGAGTGTGCTCGATCGGTGTTTATATAGCCGCTGTGGGTGTTATCATGATCATGACATCAACATCACGAAGTGTTGCCCTTCGTACTCCCTGGTTTTGTGAGCGGTTGGTCCGGACGGACAGAACGACACACACACCGACAAACCGACACACCAAAGTTCTGGTTTATATAATGAAGTGATTGGTAATTTTGACATTTCTCTAGACGAAATATGTAGCCGAGCCCGGGCAGAAGTTGCCTTCCACGACTTCATTGGCTCCGAATCCTCGGTCTCTCATGTACAGATACATGCACGTGATTCTCGTTGACGAAGATGTGTGGATCCTGCTGGTTCTGAATTCAATTGATAAGGTTTATTCAAAGCTGCCTGAGATGCAGTGCTTGTGATAGAATGAGTTTGCCACGGCGTAGTCAACAATTTATTGTGCAATCTCAAACTTGAGCAATTAGACGGGAAGAGGCAAAAAACAAATCGTACACATTGCGGACCGCCGTTATACGAGGATCTCCATACCTTTTTCATGTTTTTAAAAAATGAATCATCATTAATCTATCAACAATTTTATCAGTGATGATACTTATTGTTTCCTGGTTCTGAAAATGAGTGCAAACACTTCAGGAGCATTGAAAAATGCCAAATAAATCAGATAAAACTATGATCTTCCGCTTGAAATCGTGCGCCACATGGTGGCGCACGCAGTACGCAATGTGTTGAAAGCTCAAGCGACATCAAGATTTACCATAAAGATAATATTAGGTTGGAAAGAAACACTCTTTCTAAAATTTTCTTTTCTTTTTGAAAAATCATAGGTAACATTTATGACTAACAAATGGTAGAGCATTCTCGAGGCTTCAATCCACGAGGTGGATATAAGTGCTGCAGTCAGTAGTTATCCAAGAAAATTCAAAAAACCCGACCACTAGTAAATCCGTACTCCGAGTCACTGTCTAGTACAAATGTCTCCATAACTGTGGATTCGTGTCAAAGACCAACACTATCTGCAATAGCTTCAATAGGCATGTCGTTCACCGCTACAGCGTGTTTCACCTTTACTAGCGCTTCGATCTTTTGATATTTTCATAGGAAGCCAGCAGTGTCCTACGCACTCCATTACAGGAAGGGCTCTTACAGAAGCACCACTAGAAATTATTCGTTATGGGCACTATTGTGTAGGTAGAGGGCTATTGTCGTGCCTCGGTGGACGGGGTCGAGCGCGTGCAAGCGCGTGCATCGGTGATCTGTCCACCGGACCCGGCAAAACGTGGGATTCCATGGGTGCCCACATCACCTCTGAAGGGAATGCGTGCGCGAGAAATGCTCAGATTCAATCACAGGGCCTTATTCCCTGACCCCAGCAAGTACGTCGTGTACTTGACGCGTGCGTTGGACCCTGATGTAACTGGGCGAGTAATGCGAGACGATGCGTGCCGTGTAGATGTAATTGACCGTTGACCGACTAGGCGCTAAGCGTGTATGTGATAAGCGTGTGTAAGCGTAATTGCGGATGTAAAGCGAAGAATACTTACTGAACTTCATGTATGACAACACAGAATAGAACAGAGTTATACTATAAAACCTGTAAATAACTATTAGGTAAACAACTACGGTTGACTAAAGAAGACTACATGTTTAAGATAATTATACATATGAAGTGAACTCCCGGTGAATGTCTAAACTACTATGGAGAAATACCTACGATATGATTACAAAGGGGGAAACCCTGGCCTACTATGTGATAATATAAAGTTAAGTAAATATTACTAATTATAAAAAGCGAATGTGAGTATATGAGGCCGATGCGAGGTCCGCCTAATGCTACATGATGTAATAAGCAAGACGGACTGACCTTCTGAGGCGGCCGAAGGCGAAGGCGAAGACGTCGAGGCGAGACGAGGCAACCGCTCAGCGCGATTGCATCATGTCGACTGACGTGGCAGCTGCGCGGGCGATTTGAATGGCGGCAGACAGCCAGGGGTCTGTGCCTATCACAGTCGACGCTCAGTCTGACTGCGCGCGCGCTGCGTTGCGGCATCCTCCCGCGCATGGCCTTGGAGCATCTTTGCTCGAGGTCGTGCGCAAGTCACGACAGCTATGCTACGAAACTCCAGAAGCTGGCCGAGGCAGCTCGTCAGGAGCCCTCGTACCGCGACAATATTTATTTCTTTCATGACATTGCGAATCACCATGATCCGAAATGAGCCCGGTAAGAAATTCTGGAGCTGCGGCAAGATTTCTTACCTCTCTTAGCGTATTCCCCTGGTCGAGCTATAAATGACTGCCACCTATCCTGGACCTTAAATCATCATCTTGATGACGAAATAATTAGACGATCAACTCCAACTCGAAAGTGAGGTTGGTCTCCTTGTCAGATGTGAGGGTGATGGTCGAGAACGGGGAAGGAGATCGTATCAAGGAGCCTTCTCAAAATTATGGTGGCGGTGGTGAGTCGCATCGATACCGTCCTAGGGGAGGGGGTGGTCGCAAAATTTTTGAAAATTTGCGAACATTGATCCTGATCAGAACCCAGACCCGATCCTGTCCAGGCCAACGATGCCTCCCATCCCTTTGGAATCGGTCGGTCATATGGCGCGATCCCATTGGCATTGGAGCGCACAGGCCGTAATTACCACATCCTGCTGTGGCCGGACAACTCGTCCGCGCAACACATTCTGTTCCGTTCTTGCCTTGGCATCAGGCCAGCGAAGCTATCCGCTTTTTTATATCTTTGTGACTCAGCGAGGTTTTGAGACCCAAATTATCAGATCGATCAATTACTGCAGACGAGTTGTCCTGCCACAGAGGGGCAGTTACGTATGTGCGCTCTAATGCCAATGTGATCGTGCCCCCTTCTACTTAGCCACCTTCACGCCTACATCATAACAAAAATTTCTGTGAAGATAATTGCCGTTTCAGGTACTGCATATAAATGCTATCTGGGGAGTTCTGGAGTTGCGGCGCTACCTTGATAAGTTGGGTTAACGATGCCTCCTATCCAGGGTCAACCACACGGATGGTGCGTCAACACGGGTTCTGGCGCACAATGCGTACTTGGCGCGCAGTCGGCGCCTTCCGATCGATAATCTAATTTCAATACATTTTTCTATTTTTTTTTGACGTTTTGTGTGCCGTTTTGCTTTCACTTGCGGCTTGTTTAGCTCAAAACTTTTCCTTTTTTGTATGGATTTTGCTCACTAATGAACCCACTTGGTGCTTATTGCCACTTTCAAACACAGTGTATGAACTAACCATTCTAGGACAGTTGAAAAGCAATGATTCACACGAAAAAGAAAAAGATTCTCGCCAAAAAACACGAGCAAAAGCAACACGGCAAGGAACACCTGAAAAACAATGTAATGAAACCGAATTTATCGATCGGAAGGCGCCGACTGCGCGCCAAGTACGCATCGTGCGCCAGAGCGCGTGTTGACGCTTTTCACTCTCTCCGCCCGCGGTCCGTGTGAACGGTAAGGTCTGTGTGGCCCACACGGACCGCACGAACCGCATACTATGAAAGCACCCTTACACGTCCCAGATTTTGATCCACAGGTCCAAAGGCAGCGATCGCTATGACGGAGAGGCGGGGACGGATTGCACACGTCATTGGTGAAAGAGTACATCAGTGGGAGAACGTCCAGTGAGCTTTAAAGCAACAGTTCAGGAACGGTTTCGCGGGAAAAAACCACCAATAATGAAGTTGTAGATGAAAACCAGACGATTAATGTATGAAAAACTGGAAAAAAACGTCGGGGAGGGTCTTAGACAGGTACTCTCCCTCTGCCGCTCAGCAATGGATAAAGACGCACGTTGGACGAGTTGTCTGAACGTGCCCGCTGTAAACGCGCTCCATTTTTCAATCAATTTTCCCTGTGGTCCCAAAACGAGCACGATTGCCGACGCGTCCAATGACGGCCGGCAAGGGGGCGGGATTGGGGAAATCCCCAAGAACACCCATGTTTGAGGGACTTTCCACCCTGTTTTTGAGTTTCTGAGGTAAGTTCGTTTTACAGGGTGCGCCAAAATTACGGAGACAGCACTTCCGCGCACTATTGGGACCACTATTCAAAGATGCTGTTTACTGCTGCGCTCATTTTGGTTTAGTTGTGTTGACCTGTTCATAATTATCTTGTTTGACCACCAATATGTATGATTGTTACGATGGCTGAATGATTCTGCCGCTATTTCTAGATCACTGAACTTCAACTTTGAGTGTTTGCGGCACGCAAGAATTATCAGCGTTTTGGTTTTTTACCTGGGTACCAATCATGGATCCACTAAACGCTCCAAGGAGTAAGGAACCGAATGCACTCATTCTGGATGGGAAGGCTGTGTTTCCGAGACGGCCACGAGCAATGTCAGCATGGTGCGCAACAGAATTTGGTGGCACTTCGCGCACTCGTTCCGCCGAATGTCACGAGAGATGGACATTAAGGAGATTACTTGAGAATTCCCAAGCAAATTGCCATCTTAAGATTTAAAAAACATTGTTTGATCTTTCATAAGGAAGGGATTTCCATAGGGCAAGGGTGGTGCTGAACTGGGTCAGAGCAAATTTTGTCGAATTCATCACTTTTAACGAGTTGGTCAGCATTTCAGATTCTATATAAATGGCTTACACTGTAGAATTGATTCTGCAAGCTGAAGCTTGCACGGAACTTTACATTTTTGGGGATTATTTTGAAGAATTGCTTCAGAATACGTAGAACGGATTCTACGTATTCTGAAGCACTACCTTGCGTGCCACCGCCGATGGTTCCTCACTGCTTCTCAAGGCCCGTATAAGTGCCAACGAAGGAATTTCTGAGATTTGGCAGATGTTTACGATTCATTATTGAACAGTGAACGTTACTGCATTTTTGGTTTCCTGGAATTGTGGCGTGTTCATTCTAGGCGACTCGAAATCGCTGTCTCCGTAATTTTGGCGCACCCTGTATTAGCACATGGCCATATGTTTCTTCACTAGGGCTCATGTATCCCTCAGTAGTAGTGGCATTGAAATTTTCGGACCCTCCATGAACTGTTGCTTTAACGATCGTCCATAGAAATTTTTTGACTATGATGACTTTTGGCGATCTTTTGACTATAAATCATCACTGTCCACCGCTCGTTACTCGCTGATCTGAATTGGCTGTTGGATGCTAAGGAGGCTAGGCGTAGCGAAGTGCGTTCGAGAGAAAATTTTGAAAATACGACTCCACCTCCCTCACAGGTCGAAGCAGGGTCAAGCTTCCGTTGAGGAATCCTCGACACGTCACAGAGGGAGGGGGGGTGGTCGTATTGACCCGCTGGGAGGAAGAGATTTGGGCCGACAGCTAGGATCATAATAGTTCGGGGGACAAAACAGCAAGGGTCGAGGGGCATGCCATGGCCAGAGGTTTTCCAATAACTATGTTATTCCGCCCATAGAAAATCTTCATGATTCAGAGGAGTTCGCTTAGCAATTCTTAGCTAATTCAGTATTTTATCACCACACAAGTTGAAGGGACACAAAGCAACCCCCACAGACAAAGTTCCGACCAAAAAAATTCCATTTGGATTTTTGGGCAGTTACAGGGTAATAGTGTGGTTATGAAAAATGACAACTGTGATACCTAGAATCTCCACTCGTCGTGTATCTGCCTTTGCAAAAAATATTACAGGGGGGGGGGGCAGAAAAAGAGTATCTTCCCTCCATATTCAAAACGGATTTAAACACACGCTGCAAAGCCAAACCGAATAATTTCAACTGGATATTAAAGAGCACATTCTATCTATCAAGAAGTTACATGACAGCCTTCTACGACGACATCAGAAGATTTTCCCACGGAAACATGGTTCACGGTACGAGCTCAACGAGGTCGTCGAGGTACCATAGACCATTACGACGTCCCTGAAACGCTGGTCAAAAGCGGTCTTGCACAGTCACAGCTAGTGTCTCTGGGAAGCTATTCACCAGTTAATCGATTGAAGAAATTATGTAGCAGCTTCAGGCCGGAGCGATTACGGTAAGCCTCGTTGAGCTCGACGGTGACGGCAGATGACGTCATATTCTGAAGACGGTGGGGCAGTGAAGGAGGGGCTGCTTCTGCTTATGGGGGGACACCTAAGGAATATAATTCATCAACAACGACATCCTGTGCGACGAAAATTTGACAGTGTACGCCATTTGCAAAGTGACTCTTTTTTTGCCCCCCCCCCTGTATGTTTATTTGTGAAAGTTGTCTTAGGTTGCGTGACATCGTAACCACATTCCAGTGTGCACTACGACCACTCAAGGATGCATCTGCCGTGGTAGTGAAAAGTCCTGAAAAAAAACTGCGTTCAGGGGAATCATCGTCGTTGATGTTTACGCGGAGACAGCGGAGGAGCCTATGTTTCTGCGTGGTTGCCTGGCATGGCAGGTCGTATACGTCGATAAGTGGTTTTGTAGATAAAAAAATCCACGAGCGGGAATTATGGGGAGGAAGGTATCACTTTAACGAGTTTCTTGTGCACTTACTTTCCACTGTCATTCTCCCCTCCCCACCCGCTATTGTCATTTCTGGTGGACAAGTGGGCAAGGTGGAGCGAGTCGACCAATCTCAGAATCAAGTGTCATTGAAACAACCGTGGTGGCGAGGGTGGTGGTTGATGATGGTAGGGGAGTCGTATTCGTGAGTGACTTCTTCCGTGGGGTTTGGTGGTAGAGGGGTGGATCGAAATGAGACCCCCTGGGAGGGAGGAGAGCAATTTTGAAGTTTCTGTTTTGTTGTGTTCACGTTTCGATTATGCTGCATAGACCTTTGATGCTGTACTTTTGAGGACCGGAAGCGGTGACGGTGGCTTGTTATTGCATAGCTGTGTATGGCCGTAAAGCCGCTGAAAACCAGAAGCGCAGCCCACATAATTGAAATCCTCATTTTTGATGTTTCCTATTGCCTTCATTCCACACTTCAGAAAGAACTCATGAGTGGTTAGATGGTTAGGGTAAGTTGTGTGTGCTTTTCTTGTCGTAGATCGGATCCCAGCACGGTACCATTGCACAAACGAACGTAGCCAAATGTTTAGGCTCCTTCGCGAGCAAAAAATCGAAGGAAATGCAGGAAAAGAAGGCTGAGTGTGCTGATAAAGTTTCCTCGTTTAGTTCTCTACCCTTCACTTTCTGCATGCTCACACCAGGGTGAATACGCGTACGAGGAATCTCGACAGTAAGGGTTAAAGTTTGTCAGGGTCATGGGGGGTCGTACTCGTTGGTGTCAACAACGTCAGTAATGTGAGTCACAGAGGAGATAGGAAGGGAGAGGGTGTACTGCAGCAGAAAACAAGGATATGTGAGAAAACATGATATAAAAACTTGCCAGATTCAGCCGCTCCGTCTCTACCTTCGAGAAGGAAGTATCGAATGTACTACAAAGAATGAGTGCATCTTCGCGGAACAGGATCACATGCGCACACGCGATGCGAAGGCATTTCCTCCACCTACCGCCCCCTCCCTCGCCCTCAGTAAAGCATGGCACTTGTAGGGATGCTGACGCAAAACGACAACAGTGATGACAACAGGCTCCGACAAATGAACGCGCTCTTCAGCTAGGGAGTTACGAAATATGTTTACTACAATACAGTTTCCTGTCAACAGGTCATCATCATATGTATAAACACCTTTCAATAGATTCTACAACTTGAGTGGAGGTCGGATGCATGGCCTATACTGAGACGAGATCGGACGATGACGATTTGCCCCTTTCTTGTCGCTTACGTTGGAAGAATTTATTCTAGACACATTTCGAGTTGCCAGCGAATTATCTTGCAGTGGTGAAGACAGGAGCGGCCTTTTAGTGCCCAATTGTACTCGACGACCTCGACGCAAGTATCTCTTCAACTAGAAAATGAAGAAGAAAGCCAAACAGAGTGCTAGAAAATTCTAAGCTTCCGCTCTCTAGGACTATCTCATTTTTCGAGCTCCTACAAAATAGAGAGATATTGCCTTTTAAGTGGCAAAAACTCGCATGAAAATTCGCATCCTC